ACTGGAGGCTGAAACATACAATGAACGGTTGCAGGAACTGGGCTTGGCTAGTCTAGTAAAGAGAAGGACCAGGGGAGACATGATAGCAGTCTTCCAATATTTGAGGGGCTGCCACAGAGAGGAGGAGGGGGTCAAGCTGTTTTCTAAAACACCCGAAGGCCAGACAAGGAATAACGGATGGAAACTGAACAAGGAGAGATTTAACCTGGAAACAAGGAGAAACTTTCTGACAGTGAGAACAATCAACCCATGGAACAGAAGTTGCTCTCGGAAGTTGTGGGAGCATCATCACTTGAGACTTTCAAGAAGAGATTGGACTGCCATTTGTCAGAAATGGTGTAGGGTCTTCCTGCTCGGGCGGGGGGTTGGACTAGATGACCTACAAGGTCCCTTCCAACTCTGATTATCTGTAATCTGTAATCTGAAGTGGGAGACCTCAGAGCATGGCAATTTGGGAAGTGTGTGTGGCATGAATGCAACCTGTAAAACACTGGTAAATTAGGCCAGGATTTGGTCTCTGCTTCCCTTGACAAAATGCCAATCATTGAAGCACAGTTTTAAAATAAGCCAGAGAGTGTAACCAAGATCTTTGATGGATCTATGACAATATGTCAGGTGAGGAAGATGGTTGTGGAGTTGTGCTGTTGCGGTCCAAGCTGTGGGACTTAGAAAGGCAGTCAAATCTGAGAGGTCACAGGCCTGAATTATACCAAGTATGAAAGAACTGAGGTCAAGTTAAAAAGATTTAGACTAAGGTTTGTCAACCTTAGCCACTTTAAGACGCTTGGACTTCAACTCCCAGAATTCCCCAGCTAGAATTCTGGGGGTGTCGACGTCTATAGGTCTTAAAATAGCCTACTTTCAAAAAATACTGTTTTAATTTAGACTCCTCTAATCCAGTGTAGATCTTGGCAGCTTTACAGATATGGTTCACCACTGTTTTCTCTCATCTAAGATTTCCTGGTGGTCTCTTTTCCAGTATTCATCAGGGCCAACCCCTTCATAGATTGCAACCTCAGGAAAGAACTCCCAGCCATACAAGTCATACTGGCTGGGAGCCCTGCAGGTCATACTTCTGGAAGTTTTTGTCTGAGATTGCAAGCTATGAAGGGTTGGCTCTGATTAGCACTGGAAAAGAGACCACCAGGAAATCTGAGACGAGAGAAAACAGTGGAAACCACTTCTGCAAAGCTGCCAAGAACAGCGCTGGAAAACAGTGTTTTTCAAAGCAGACCACTTTAAGATATATGGATTTTAACCCCCAGAATGCATTGTAATAGCCTGGCTATCTGGGCTGTTACAATGCATTCTGGGAGCTGAAGTCCACTTATCTGGAGAGTGCTCAGATTGCTGAAAGCTGAGTTCAGGAGTCTTTAACATACCCAGGCTGAAATGCAGGTAGTCTTTGACTTAAAACAATTCACTTAGTGACCCTTTAAGGTTACAACAGCACTGAATAAAGTGGCTTATGACCATTTTTCACACTTATGACCGTTATAGCATCCCCAAGTCACGTGATTTACATTCGGATGCTTGACAACTGACTCACATTTACGATGGTCGCAGTGTATCGAGGTCATGTGATCCCCTTTTGTGACCTTCTGACAAGCAAAGTCAATGGGGAAACCAGATTTACTTAACAACAGTCGTAATTACTGTTCTGACCCAAACCTTGTTGCAAGGAAACAAACACGAAACAGAGGTAATAGCAAAACCTTTTAATGATTCTTTACGCATTCCGTTCCTTCAAGGTTAAAAGGCTGTTTCAAACTAATTGTCTCGGATAAGAACAAGCCTTGCCAAGGTTGTGCAAGGCTGCCAAGAATACCAGATAAAGTTACTAAGAAATATTTCAAACACAAAGAGTCTCCAAACACCAACCAAGATATTCCGAACGTCCACAAGGCTTGAGTGCAAAAATTTCTTTGCTTCCTGCAAAGAACTCCGGTTTCTCAGCTGGCTTTTATCTCTTAAGGGAGGGGCCATTACCTTGCAGCCTTATTCCCGAGTCACCCGTGCTGTTGCAGCTGCTCTTTCCTTCGAGAAGCCCTGTGCACAGGTGCACTGGGCACAGGCTCCTCGGGGTCCTCTTCCTCACTGCTGCCAGCCTCCACAATCTCCAAAGGCAGCATTCTACTCCCTGATGGTCCTGGCCCCATCCCTGCATCACAGCAGGCCCCTCACCTGAGTCCTCGTTCTCTGAGACTTCAGCCATCCGCACCTGCTGCCGGCGAACCACAACACTTACTCATTTAATGGCTGCAGTGATTCACATAACAAATGTGGCAAGAAAAGTCATAAAATGGGACAAACTCACTTAACAAATGTTTCACTTAGCAACATAAATTTTGGGCTCAATTGTAATCATAACTTGAGGACTACCTTTACCTGCAGATCTGGGCAAAGATTAAACAAAAAAAAGGAAGGATTGACTCTTTGCAATATTTGGGTCAAACTGGGGTGTTATTTATTTTACATTTAAAAATGACAGAGAAGGATTGTACACCACATTTTTTTACGAACCCATTCACTGCCATCCTGTCAAGCTGCCTCGTTACATTACATCCATTTTATCCATTTCTCCCTTTTCTCTAAAGCTTGTTTTTTTGGCACTCCTGAGCTGTTGTCGACTGCCATTTTATTTTCCCAGAATGCCAAGCGGCGTTGATGTTACAGCTTTCCACGGATTTGTGTGCAGCAAGGGTCTTCAAACTTGGCAAGTTTAAGACTTGAGGACTTCAACTCCCAGAGTTCCTGAGTAACATGACTGGGGGAGGAATTCTGGGAGTTGAAATCCACAAGTCTTAAAGCTGTCAAGTTTGAAGACCCCTGGTGTACAGGAATGTCCATATAGGGTGGTGCTTCCTAACTCTATTCACTTCCAGAGGTATAAATCTCAAATCCCAGAATTCCACAGCCAGAGAAGCCATTGTTGAGAATTCTGGGAGTTGAAGTCCAGCTGTCTTAAAGTGGGCAAGGTTGGGAAACCTTGATGTAGTAGAAGGAGGAGTTAAAAAAATCAAGATGGCTTCTTGCAGACATGACATGTCCTTTTTACATGTGTTGTGCATGCATGATGCAAGCAAAAGTAGGACATGATTGTATCATCATAGCCACCATTTTTGAGCCCTCCCCAATTACTTGGTTTGAATTTTGACATCTTCCCATTAAAATAAATATATTCCCTTCCCCCATGTTATCACCAAGGTCAAAATGGGATCAGCCCTTTTCATTCAGTTAGTAAAACCAACCTGTTCAAATCAAGGCCAAACCCAAGGGAGGTCAAAGAAGTCAAAATGGCAGCTCAACTCTGCCTTGTGGGATTGAAGCTCCACCCCTTTTAAAAGGGGTGGGGCTTCAATCATACAGGTATAATCAGATCAAATTTTTATTATTGTAGATAGGCAGAGTAGAATAAAAATAGTAAAAGCTTTGTGAGCTTTTAAGCTTTTACTTTTAAAAAAACAATAAAAGCTAGAAAGAATATAAAATACACAAAATAAAAATAAAAATAAAAAAATTACTTTTGTCAGTCTTTTGTCTTTTTTAACCCTGCTGCTTTGGACATCCTTGGATAAAACATGACCCCCAAAGTTTATTTGGTATTTTAGGGAATTCCTCACACAATCATGCCTACTGAGCTTCAACAGACAAAAATCATTGAAGGAAAAGGAGACTCAGGTACAGAATGCAGTCAGAAGAAAGTAGAGAAATGGGGCTGAATCTTAAGGTTTTGCTCCTGAGTCTGTCAGAGAACATCTGAATAAAGGAGAAAATATATCAAGATTTAAACAAAGGAAGAAAAGAAAGGCTCCGTATAGTTGTCATGAGAGAACCTTGGCAGATATAGGCCAAAAAATCAAGATGGCCACAATCAGAGCAGCCATCTTGACTTTTTTGCCCCCAACCTTATGGACATCCCTCATTGTATACATTATCCAATTTGGGATCATGGAGCAGTGTTTCTCAATCTTGTGGGCTGGAAGGCCTGTGGACTTCAACTCCCAGAATCCCCCAGCCAGCAGGCTAGGGAATTCTGGGAGCTGAAGTCCCCAAGTTTTCAAGCTGCCAACCTTGAGAAACACTATAATGAAGGATTGAGGGACATTATTCCAGTCTACTTTTAACCAAATCAATGAAAAAATCTAGCGGATGCATTCCCACAGCATACTAAGCAAGGTTAATAAACCATAACCTTGGCTAATATATTCTTTTATGGAATCCTAGAATGAAAAGGCTGGAAGGGGTCCCTAGAGGTCATCTAGTCCAACCCCCTCACCCACCCAGGGTGGGGAACTTGCCCTTACCACATCTCCCCCAGGGGCTTTCCCAACTTCCTTTAAATCCCTCCTGTCCAATCTATTCACAACTGATCCACTCTCACTATATATATATTTTCCTGACCATGGAAGGTAAACGTGAAGTTTAAAAACAAACCTAGAAATGGGGTCAGGAGGAATTCTGCTGCTCAGCAGAGAAGTCACCTCCATCCACCATAAATAAAAAAATTCCTCTTATTCAGCTAAACTGGTGCAGTGCTGATACCTTTCCCATCCTTGGCCCAGCTCTGTATTCTAACAATAAGTTAAAAAACAAACAAACCAAACTCAATCCCTTGGCAAGGGATTATGGGAATTGCAGTCCATCATATTTGGAGGTTGTGGAAAGCTTATGACTGTTTCCTAGTATGATTTTATTGCTTATTGTACTCTACGACTATTATTGTGTTGTACCTTATGATTCTTGACAAATGTATCTTTTCTTTTATGTACACTGAGAGCATTTGCACCAAGACAAATTCCTTGTGTGTCCAATCACACTTGGCCAATAAAGTAGTCTATCTATAAAGAATTCTATCTAACATGGCCATAACTTATTCAGGCTAACTGTATCGCTCTTAATTGCTCTTAATTTCTCCCAAATATAAGTCCTGCTTCTTAGCCTCAGCAGACCAGGCACAAAGTTAACTCTCTTTTTTTCTGAATTACATTTCCATCCAGGATACAACCGATTACGTCGCTTATGTTGCCAAGGATCCCATCAACCAGCGAGGTGAGTGTGATTAGAGAAATAGCATGCAGCTTTTAAAAAGCTGTAGCAATGGCGTCTTACAGAAGCTTGCCGAAGATGTTATTTAAAAATTATGCTATGTTTTTTTATCTGCCTGTACGAACCAATGCATAACTCCAGGTGTCAGCAATTTTTTTTATAGGTTGATACATCCATATCCATACCCATATCCATGTATTTTGTGATATAGTCTTCGACTTACAACCATTCATTTAGCAACTCTGCCCTGAAAAAAGAATGACTTACAATCGGTCCTCGCAGTTACAACTATTGTAGCATCCCTTTTTGATCAAGTGATCAAAATTTGGGCATTTGGCACTTGGCAAACAGCATGTTTTTATGATGGCTGCATGACCTGGGGCCACAGGATAATATATATAAAAGTGAAATAGCACTCACGCATCATCACAAAATCTCCAGAACCGTAAAGCCTACAAACTTGACATTTGGCACGTGTGTTCCTCTTGGCTTCTAGGTGCTCACTAAGAAAGGATTTTTCGAAATGACCATCAGAGCATTAGTATTTCCTATATTATTATTATTAACATGCTCTGATGCTAAGGAGTTCTACGCCCCCTCCCCACCTGAAAAGAAATCAGAGGAGTTTCAGTTTTACTTTCACAGCAGCAAGCAGCTTTAGTAGAGAACAGTTGAGCTAAGCCACGCCCAGGCTCCTTGCTGCCGCCTTCTTGCTCACACAGCAAATACTGCTTCAGTTTCCAAACAGCCCTCAACTCTTTCACACACTGACAGGACACTAGCCAGATGAATACCGATGGATGATGGTAGGCAGAGGCAGAATTTCCCCCCCTTTATTTTCCTCCCCCAAAATTAAGCCTGACCACATAGTTTCGTAGCGAAGCAGCTGGCCTACACACACACACACACACACACATCCCACGCAAGTGCCTGTTCCTAGATCTATACACATATCCACATTGGGAGCAAAAAAGCACTAGATAGCAGTGTTCCACTATCTAAGGGGCTGCCACCAAAAAGAGGGGATCAACTTATTCCATAAAGCACGGATGGAAATTAATCACAGAGAAAAGCAACCTAGAATTAAGGAGAAATTTCCTGATGGGAAGAACAATGAATCGGTAGAACAACTTGGTTTCAGAAGTTGTGGGTGCTCCAACACTGGAGGCTTTTAAGAAGAGTCTGGACAGTCACATGTCTGGAGCGGTACTATAGGTCTCCTGTTTGAGCAGGGGGTTGGACTAGAAGACCTCCAAGGTCCCCTTCCAACTGAATTATTCTGATTTTGTGTGTGTGGATGCGTGTGTGTATAAAAGAATTGTAAACCATTTCTGTTTTGTGATTTCTTTCTTTTTTTAAAAAAAAAAACGTCAAAGACCTGTTAAAGGCATGCTATATACCTCTTTTAAGATTTGCAACAAACAGCACCATTTGAAAATGTCAAAACCTGTAGGAATTGCACGATGACAACAATACATCTCCCTCAAGAGACAGCTAACTTTCGGCCTGCATCTTAGCTTGCAGGGTGAGGGTTGTTATATAAGGGCTGACAGACGGCGCCCAGGGGGGTGAGCTATCAGCTCTTCAGCTCTGCTCTCTCTTGGCTAGCTGCCTTAGGCAAGCTGCTCTCCCGGAGCCTCCTTCTCCTTTGCTCCTTACGCTATCAAGATGCTGGAAGATTTACCCCTTGACAGATCATAAATCCATCTCTGCACTGCAGCCTTTTAAAAATGTACTGTTGGAAGAAATATCTGATTTATGAGTTCAGTTCCAGGTGGGGAAAAAGACAATGGAAACATGGAGGCTGTATGGAAAGATGGTTTAATGGTGGACAGGACCACATGCAGGGGTGGGATTCAAAATGTTTAACAACCGGTTCTGTGGGCGTGGCTTAGGTGGTGGGCATGGCTTGGTGGTCATGTTATTGGCTGGGTGTGGCCAACACAATATCACTCACATCGAGGCACGCATATCCTCGCCTGGCCTCTCATGACTGTGGGGATGCTGCAACAGTCGTAAGTGTGAAAAACGGTCATAAGTCACTTTTTTCAGTGCCATTGTAACTTTGAATGGTCCCTCCACACAAGCAAAGTACCAGCAAAAGAGGGAAAGAAGACTCCAGAGAAGTTCCTGAGACAGGAGGTCTAGTCCTGCCAAGAACGTAATAAGGGTTAACGGAGAGGCAGTTTCTGTAAGCAACACCAGAATGTTTCCTTCCTGCCTTCCTTACAGGATTAGGCCAGTAATTTCTTCTAACAACCGGTTCTCCGAACTGCTTAGAATGTTAACAACCGGTTCTAGAGAATAGGGGCGAACTGGTAGAATCCCACCCCTGACCACATGGCTTGGAGCTCCAAAGTGAAAAGGACGATCACATGCTTCAAGATGTTGGGTGAAGGAAAAGAAGGGAGGGCTGAGATGCTGAGACCCTTATATACCCTCTGTTGAGCCCCATCTTAGTGCTTCCTGTTCCTGTGTCAGAATTGTATCCCATTGGCTGTCAGACTCCCAAGGGCGGGGTCTTAGCTAACTTTGTAGGCTTTGTCTGGACCCCATGGCTTCACCTGAGTGCTGGCTCATGCAATTTTCCCAGGCCAGGTGGTGAGATGGGTAGAGGGCTTTGTTATGTAGAATACTCTGGTCCAGGACTTAATGGCCCACCCATTAACAAAGGTGGGGAATGAGCTGCTGCTTCTGAGGTGAATTTCTGCTTCTGAGGTGAGTTTCTGTTTCTGAGTTTCTACTCTTTTTGGGGGAAATATTCTGCCTTTTTAATATTTCCTAAAATATTTCATTTTCCAAGGAGAGGGGTGGGTTTTAACTTCCAACAGTATGATTTTAAGCTGTACAGAGGCTATCAGGGTGTCAGTAACGCCAACCTGGAGGAACGAGAGATGGGCGGTATCTAAATTAAATAATAATAAATAAATAAATAAATAAATAAATAAATAAATAAATAAATAAATAAATAATAAATAATAAATAAATAATAAATAATAAATAAATAAAAATGTTGCCATACAAAGATGCTCCCTTGATAAGAGTGCGATGATGTCTGGGTAAAACCGAGCTTTCGTTCTGCTTAGATGAAAAGTGCTTAAATTGAGCGGATGTTGTCTTGACCCTTAGCTAATTTTTCTCATTTACACCTTTTTCCAATCTTACTGAAAAAGATGTAAGTGAAAGTTTTGATTGATCAAAGCCTGCTGTTCATTGTGTTAGTCGTTGTTGTTGTTGTTGTTGACGGTGAACATGGCAAGATCTTTTAGATCTTGGAGGTGCTATGGGGATGTAAGAACGTATAGGAATGCATGGGTTGGTTGTAGTGTGTACAGATAATCCTAAATGTATGATCATAATTGAGCCCAGAATTATGGTTGCAGTCCCAAAACGGTGGTAGTCCCCCCCCAAAAAGTCATTCTTGTTTTTTTCTCTGAAGACGTTTCGCTTCTCATCCAAGAATATTAAGGTTATTAAGTGTGGCGCAGGATGGAATAAGGATCTTACACTGGGATGGATCGTGATTGGTCCATGTGATTGGTCCAAGGGGACGGATTGTAGTTTGGGACATTGTGGGATGTCCGGGAAACTTTTACTTTCGAGATTCCACAGATGTGCCAGGTGCTATTCTAATAAAGGTACCTTTGAGATTATGCTTGTCTCGGAGCTACTGATTGGAATGGAGGTTTTCTGGAGCGCCGACAGAAGCTTCTTCAGCTCTAACTGGATCATGGGGAATGGAAGGATTGATACTCCTTGCAGACAGCTGGTTATTTGCATCCTTTTAGCGGGTCGTTGAGGCCACCTGGAGGTTTATCTGTGTCCTCAGGGTCACGAGCGATGCAAATGGGCGTGGAGCCTTCTTGGAACTGCAGAAAGGACTCTGTTGTAGACTGGAGATAGATGATGTCGTATCCCTCCCTTTCTGTTGAGAGAGGGCTGATCAATTTTGGTATAGATGGCCTCTTTGACCCCTCTTTCAAACCAGCGGTCCTTTCTGTCCAAAATGAGGACTTTGTTGTCTTCACAAGAGTGGCCTTTGTGTCTTAAATGCAGATGGACTGCTGAATCTTGTCCGGATGGGTTTGTTCTCCTGTGTTGTGCCATGCGTTAATCAGAATAGAGCTGAAAGGGACCTTGGAGGTCATCTAGTCCTGCCCCTTGCTCAAGCAGGAGACACTACCATTTCAGACATCCAGCCTCTTCTTTAAAACCTCCAGTGATGAAGCATCCAAAATGCCTGAAGGCAAGACATTCCACTGGTTAATTGGATGAACTTTAATTAATTTAATTTAATAGAATGAACTTTATGAAGTTCACTTCATAAAAACCAAGAAAGTCCAGTTGCCTCTTGAAAAAGCACCTTTGGGACAACCATGACTGAGAATCTCCATAGACAGTAAGTGGTGACAGTCATTAAGCAGGACACCGCGTGACTGCACCTAATTTTATTACCTTTTTGTGGTGGTCATTAAACAATTCCACTAGTCCAGGGGTCAGCAACCCACGGCTCTGGAGCTGCATGTGGCTCTTTCATACCTCTCTGCTACGGCTCCCTGTCTCTCAAAATATGCATCGCAATTGCCAATGTGCGACACCCACCAGCATGCAATTTATTGAGCTTTCAACCCCCGGTAGGCCAACCATGGATAAATCCAAGAAAAGAAAAGTTTTAGGAGAAAATACACTCTTTAATTCAACTATAAATGCTAGTTTTGTGGCAGCTCAGGAAATAGTCAGGCATGGAAAGGGTTTTGTGACTCCCAGTGTTTTATTTTCTGTGGGAAACAGGTCCACATGGCTCTTTGAGTGTTTAAGGTTGCCAACCCCTACCCTAGTCATTAAACCCATTATACCTAGTTGTTCTGTCTCACCTTTCTTCTTTCCCAAAAGATGAAAGAATACAAACTCACACAAACACAGGCAGGCAAGCTGGCTCGGACTTCACAGAGTTAATTCTTTGGAACTGATAATATCTTTGGCATTCCAACACCTCTGCCTGCCAAGTCCGAACTGATAACAAGTAAAAAGCTACTTACAGAAAATTACAAGGCAGACCACAAAAATCATTCCCAAAGAAAACCTGAAGTAAGATCAAACTTTGTCCCGTACAAAGTTCCAGCCGACAACACACCCACTTTTATCCCCTGTGGGGTGTGGCTCAATGACTCAGCTCACTCTCTGATCCTCCCACGCCTCCTATGTTGCTGCTCACGTTTCTCCCTACGACGCAGCCTAGGATCAAGCCAACATTCTTCCTCTTGACTCCCTGTCAGGGACTGTTCTGATATGCCTTCCTCCTGATTAATCTCAGGCTGTTCCTCTCGGTTGTCTGATGAAACCTGAGGCATCATCAGGGAGGAAGGCATTGCCAGAGAGGAAGGTCCTGGGGAGGAAGGCATTCCCAGTTCCTCCTCCTCATCTTCCAAGTCCTCTTCCTCTAACAGCACAGGCTCGGGAATCGGAGCCACAACACCTAGTAGGCATTTTTTTTATGGCAACTAGAAGTAAAGATTAGATACTACCCAAACCTTTCAAGAATCCCAATCACATGACAGCAGGACGCCGCAGGCAGCCATAAACGCGAGCCAGTTGCCAAGAGCCCAAATTGCAATCCCGTTACTGTGACAGAGGGTGTGGCCATCGGAACTTTGAAATCCAATCGTAAGGACCATTTTTAGAAGTCCGTCGTAACTTTGAATGCTTGCTAAAAAAAACATTCATTAAACGAGGAAACTACCTGTATGATATGCCAGCAAGTGGCGGCCATGAAAGAACCAGGGAAAAGAATGTGAATGTTATCCAGGTGAAAACCTTAAAGTTTTATTCTTTTATTCCCCTTCTTTTCACTTTCACTTTCACTTTTGGTTGCACTTTCACTTTCGCTTCTCCAGGTATGTCTTATTTTCAGAGTTCTGCCAATGTCGCCCATTGACAGGCCCTATTGGCTCAGTTAACACAGTCTAAGGTTGCATTGCCTGCTTCTGTGGCTGCATCTCCCGCTGCTATTTGTGTCTTGTGGTGTGTCTGTTTGTGTCTTTGTTGTGTATCTTCTTTTGGGGTGCGTGTGTGAAAAATACGTTTAATTTCTGGTTTGCGGATCTTCTCTTTCTTTTTGGCAGCCTGCCACATCTTGGAATGCTGCGACGGACTGGCGCAGAGCATCATCAACACCGTCGGGCAGGCCTTTGAGCTCCGCTTTAAGCAGTACCTGCACAGCCCTCCCCAAACTGTAGCACCCCAGGAGAGGTATGGGATTATAGCCTCAGTTTCCCCACGCGTTGAGGATCGGGCATGCTGCAGAGATCTCTACATTTAGACTTGCAAGTTCTAGATTGCCCCCTCCTCCCCAGTCAGATGATTGGCTGATTCTGAGCCAGTCCCTCCCTCTTATTCCAAGATCCAATCAAATATAATCTAGTGGAGAAGGGCCTGGATTAAGGAGAGGGAAATTTGGATTCTAGCCCCTCCCACCTCTTAGCTACAGAAGCTCATTGGCTGAATGGGAGCCAGTTCCTCCCTTTCAGCCCAAGAGCCAATCAGATATAGTGAGGAAGTGGCTGCACTAGGAACGGGGAGACTTATATTGTAGTCATCCTCAGACACAGAAGCTCATTGGCTGACTTTGGGCCAGTTCCTCCTCCTTAGCCCAAGACCCAATCAGGTGTAATGAGGAAGATGCTGGACTAAGAGAAGGGAGTCCCTCAATCTAGTACTCCTTAACCATAAAAGCTCATTGGCTGAATGTGGGGCAGTCCCTCCCTTTCAGTCCAACAGCCAATCAGCTGTGGTGGGGAAAGGGTGGATTAGGGTTTGGGAGAGATCCAGGATCTAATCCTCCTTCAGCCACCTAAGCTCATTGGCTGACACTGGGCCAGCCCCTCCCTCCTAACTGAGGAGCCAATTAGATGTAGTGTGGGAGGAGCTGGACCAGGAGAAGGGAGAGCCAACTTTTAGTAACAAGAAATGATATTGAAGCCCCTGCCGCAATTTTACACACACCATGTAAAAATGTGTTGGAGTTTTGATCATGCAATTGTCACACGCACTTTGATTTTTTTACACACACACATATAGACTCTCTCTCTCTCTCACACACACATACACACACACACATACATATTCTCATACACACACATACACAAGGACACATGCAGTCTGTCAAAAACACACAAACTCACTCTCTCTCTCTCTCACACACACACACGCACACATGCACAGAATCTGTCATACATACACGCACACAGATTCTCCCTCACATATGACTGTCACAAACACACACATGCTCACATTCTCAGACACACATAGACTCTCACAAACACAGACTCTCCCACAAACATGCACACATGCTCACACTCACACACGCACATGCAGAGAGTCTCTCTCTCACTCACACATTCTCTCACAAACACACATGCTGTCATACACGAATTCTCTCACACACAGACTTTCACACACATACAGACTCACACACAGGCACACGGCTCTTTCACACACAGACTCCCCCTCACTCACTCTCTCTCTCTCTCTCTCTCTCTCTCTCTCTCTCTCTCTCTCTCTCTCACACACACACACACACACACACACACACACACACATTATAGATGTCTATGTTTCTGAAATATGTGACATTCGTTGTCCCTTGTTTCTGGTGATTGTTTGTTTATTTGATTGATTGATTCACTTCATTCATTCAGTTTATATAGCCTTGGCCTTTTCCCCCACTTGTCTTTCTGATCAGGACAATGGGAGTGGACGATTGTTGGGGTGAAGAGGAAGACTCCTCAGGACACAATTACTACAACAGCATCCCCGGGAAGCAGCCCCCGCTTGGCGGCCTGGTGGATTCTCGCCTCCATTATGGATCGGCGTCCAGCCACACGCTCTCGCTGGGTTCCTACGCCACCCACTTCAGCCAGGTGACCCCCAAACTCCTTGGCAGGTTCAGCTGGTGTATCCCAGCCTGTTTAGCTCAACTTAAAAGGGCATCATCATTTGTTCCTTAACCACGGTCTCTTCCCGCCCCCTCTCCCACCAAACTTTCCTGTGGTGAAAGAAGAACCGATGCCAGAACGTGGCGGATGACCCGTATAATTTAGGAAATTGACTTGTTTTTAAAAACCTCTTTTTTCTGTGGTCCAAAGGTGCCACCCTCTTTTGTTAACCAGACATTGGATAGGTGTATTATTTTTTTTTAAAAAAATTGAAATAATTTTCTTTTGCAGAAAAATATCCTGTGGCAAAGGACTGCAGTTAGTCCTTGGCTTATGACTGGAATTGAGCCCAACATTTCTGCTGCTAAGCAAGACAATTATTAAGGAGGCTTGCCCCGTTTTACGACCTTTCTTTGCACAAATGGTTAGGTGAATCCCTGCAATTGTTAAATTAGTAATACGATCGTTAAGTGAAGCTGGTTTCCCCATTGACTTCGCTTGTCAGAAGGTCGCAAAAGGTGATCACATGATCCTTGGACACTGTGACCATCATCATTATGAGCCACTTTCCCAACGCTTGAATTTCGATCATGTGCTGCAACAGTCATAAGTGTGAAACATGGTCATAAGTCCCTTTTTTCCAGTCCCTGTGGTAACTTCGAATGGTCGCTAAAGGAATGGCTGTAAGTCAAGGGCTACCTGTAATTGAGGAAATTGGTTGCTTTAAAACCTCCTTTTCTGAAATCCAAAGATTTTCCTCCCCTCAATTAATCAAACATTAGATGTGTGTGCTTATTTATTTTAAATCTTTTTCTTCAGCAGAAAAAATATCCTGTGACAAAAGACCAATTTAAAAATACAGTAAAACGATCCTGACAGGAGACTGACAGTCCAAATGGAATTGTCGATTAGAATACCTTAAAGAATGCCATCCTTTCAGAGGGAACTACAACTTTCATCATCCCCAGACAACAGGGAAGTGATGGATGTTGTAGTCCATATAGCTTCAAAAATTTTAGCAACAGGCCCAGTTGTTGGGTGGGCGTGGCCATGGTGGGTGTGGCCTAGTTGGCCTCCAGCACCACGGGGCGGGGGGGCGTTTTTCCCCTCCCTGGGTTCCAGAGCAGTGGTGGGATTCAAATTTTTTTTACTACCGGTTCTGTGGGTGTGGCGTGGCTTGGTAGACGTGGCAGGGGAAGGAGACTGCAAAATCCCCCTTCCCTCCCCATCCCACTAACCTGCTTTCCAGCTCCGTTCTCCTGTGCAGGGCAACCAAAGAGGAGCCAGCCAATCAGCTGAGACTCAATGGGAGGCGGAGAATAGATGGGGTTGGTGGGGCCAGTCAGAGGTGGGATTTGCCAGTTCTCCGAACTACTCAAAATTTCCGCTACCGTTTCTCCAGAACTGGTCAGAACCGGCTGCATACCACTTCTGTTCCATTCCTGAAGCCCCTGGGAGGGTGAAAATGGCCTCGCCCGGGCTCCGGAGGCTCTCTAAAAACTGGAAATGGGCCCATTTCCGGCCTTCCCAAACTTCCAGGAGGCCCGTTTTTCGCCCTCCCTGAGCCTCCGTGTGAGCCCTGCACTTAGCTGCATCCAAAACGAGCTGCACGAGGACTCCTAGGAGGGGAGCGGAGGGGTGGGCGGGGCCAGCCAGGAGTGGGATTTGGGGGGTCTCTGGACTGCACAAAATCTTAGCAGCATCCCGAACCTCTGCGAACCCCCAGCAGCCCAGCCAGGGGTGGGATTCTACCACTTCGCACCTATTCGCTAGAACTGGTTGTTAACATTCTAAGCAGTTCGGAGAACCGGTTGTTAGAAGAAATTACTGGCCTAATCCTGTAAGGAAGGCAGGAAGGAAACATTCTGGTGTTGCTTACAGAAACTGCCTCTCCGTTCACCCTTATTACATTCTTGGCAGGACTAGACTTCCTGTCTCAGGAACTTCTCTGGAGTTTTTTTCCTCCTTTGCTGGTACTTTGCTTGTGTGGAGTGACCATTCAAAGTTACAATGGCACTGAAGAAAGTGACTTATGACCATTTTTCACACTTACGACTGTTCCAGCATCCCCACAGTCATGAGAGGCCAGGCGAGGAGATGCGTGCCTCGATGTGAGTGATGTTGAGTTGGCCACACCCAGTCAGTCACATGACCGCCAAGCCGTGTCCACCCAGTCACATGACCAGCAAGCCACACCCACCACCTAAGCCACGCCCACAGAATCAGTTGTTAAAAATTTGAATCCCACCCCTGAGCCCAGCCTGGAGTCCAGCCCTACAGAGGAACCCCAAATTGGCAGAGGCTGGCCAAGAGCCATTTTCTTCTGGATTACGAACTGAATTCTACCCTAGAGACTCACCTAAGGGCAGTGGGGAATGAAACTGCAGGCAAACCAATTCTTTTCCCTTGTGATAATGAGATCCTTTTCGGTGGAAATCTGAACTCAGCGGGAGTCTCTTGCTAGGGAATGGTCTCCTGAGAGCGTGCAGAGCATTAAAGAAACATGAGTAATTCAGTCGTCGAAGCAATTCCAAAAGATAAATGCCGATAGTGTAGCTTGAATGCCAAGCAGAGGCTTAACCCAGCTGTGTTGATGAATGCAAACAGATGTTAATTATATCTGGAGCGAAAGAGAGACTTGTTGAGAAATGGAGAGTGCAGGAAAGTTGGATGTAAATGACACATTGGAGATCAAGAAAGACAAGAATGAAAGGAAAAAGAAGCTCCTTTGTTTCTTGTGACTAAAATGTAGGAAGAATGGTTGCAGGAATTGGGTAAGGTTAGTCTAGAGAAAAGTCTAGAGCACTAGTTGCCAACCAGCGGGCTGGGGACCACTGATGGCCCGTGAGAAAATTTTGGTGGTCCGCAGAGAAGTGTCACCCCCAAAGCATTCCCCCCAAAGCAATTAATCCAGGCTGCGCGGGAACACAAGACTGCGCCGCCCACATGGCCCACGGGAACCCAAGGCTTGTGTCGCTTGCATTGCAAACAACATGAGGTAGTGAGGGGAGGGAGAAAGGGCGGGGGGGACGACAACTTTCCCCACTTGCCCCACGCTCCTCGCCTGCTTCTTTCCGCTTCTTTCTTCTTCTGCTTTTGGCTGCACGCAAGGAAAGCAGCAAAAGTCTTTTTTTCTTTCCCTCAAACTCCACAAGAATTGAGTCTTTGGGACCCTGCAAGGCATCCTGCTCCAAGAGGCTGCGTCAGCGTGACAAGTCTCACAAAGATTCATTTCTGCTGGAGTTTGGGGGAGAGAAAGAAAGACTTCTGCTGCATCTTCTGCTTTCCTTGCAGGAAGCCAAAAGTCTCTCTCTCTCTCTCTCCTCCTCAGAACGGAGCTGGAGACGGTATCCTGCGATCCCAAATAAAGAATGATCGATTGGTAGGAAAATGGGGTTTTCCTGTAGACCTTTTTGGGGGATTTTCCCAGGGTCTCTGGTCCGCGGGATTTAAAATTATGAGTTTGGTGGTCCCTGAGGTCCAAAAGATTGGAAACCCCTGGTCTAGAGAAAAGAAGGACTAGGGGTGACTTGATAGCAGTGTTCCAATATCTCAGGGTTGCCAGAGCTTCTTCAGCTCTGACTGGATGGTGGGGAATGGAAGGATTGATATTCCTTGCAGTCATCTGATCATTAGCACTCTCTCTGAGAGTCATTGCGGTTTATCTGTGCTCTCAGTGCTGAACTGCTCAAAGGGAAGTCCTCAGAGAGAGCGCTAACAACCAGATGACTGCACATAGGGATGGGATTCTACTGGTTCAGACTGGTTCTATAGATCTGGTTGTTATAATTCTGCGTAGTTCGGAGAACCGGCAAATCGTGCCCCTGGCTGGCCCCGCGCCTCTCCGCCCACGCTTCCCTTCCCTGCCCAGTCAGTCCTTATCGCGCATGCCCAACATTGCTTACTGCATTCTCCCCCACCCAATCACTTCTTAAGGTATTTCTTCCCCCGCCCGACGATCAGCTGTTCCGATGATCAGCTATGCCAGGATCCCCCTCACTGTCTTACTGCTTCACCCAGGAGGCTTCCCTGAGGCCCAGGAGGCCAAAAGGGGCACGCAGGGGGGGTGTTTTGGGGGGTGCTGTGCCCCCTCCCTCTGTGCTCCATTTTTTTTGCCTTCCTGGGCCCCAGGGAACCCTTCTGGGAGCAAAAACGCCCCCCCCCAAAGGCTTCCCTGAGGCCCAGGAGGCAAAAAATGGGGGGGGGGTGTTTGCTGCAAAAAAAGAAGCCATGCCCATGACCACCTAGCCAGGCTCACCTAGCCACGCCCACAGAACCATGATCACATGACCATGACCACCTAGCCAGGCTCACCTAGCCACGCCCACAGAACCGGTTGTTAAAAAAAATTTGAATCCCACCCTTGATTGCACAGAATATAATTCCTCCCCTTCTCCGCCATTCAGTCAGAACTAAAGAAGCTTCTCGGATGAGAAGTGAAACATCTTCAAAAAAACCACAACAACCAGAAAGTCCAGTTTCCCCTTGAAAAAAAAAAAAGCACCTTTGTCTCATGAAAAGCCAACTTCTCACCTTTTCTCCTGTGTGAGCCGATATGATTCCATTTCTTCCTAACCCACAGGTCGGTCCTTCAGCCAGAAGGGAACCCAGTAGTCACTCAAACCTGAACTGGGATGCTGATCTTTCTGGTAATTATCATATTTATCCTGTCCAGTTTGTGTGGGTGTGATGAGCTGGGACGTGGCACAAAAGCAACAAAGTCACAAAAGTAAGTAAAGTCCCTTTAATACCTCCAACTTGGCGCCCAATGTCCAGTTATCATCGACTGGAGAAAAAAAACAACTCTCCCAAGAACAGTTTTTAAAGGGAAGAAATTCAGTCCAAACCCAAAGTACATCAAAATTATAAATAAAAACCAACACAATTAACGAGACAGGGCAGGATAAGGAATTGCGGGTTTCAAAAGTTAACGAAACACACACAGTTGGGAGGATGCCAGAATCCGGATAAGACTTGATAAAGATAAATTCACACTTCCAGCAAGGTGCTGTGCGCAAACTCCCTTTTTAAATCCTGTTTTCCCAGCTGCAGCTAATGAAGGGGATCAGGGCCCTTTCCTCTCCCGTAAGCCACATTGCTCCCTTCTCCGTTCCTCCCTGCGTGCCCTAGGATGAAGAGGGGGTGGCCCTGGGTCTTCCTCTGATTGCCCAGCCAGAGTGTGCCCTTCCCCAGTTTCCTCCACAGCCACCAGAGCCGCACTCCCACTCCCTGTCAGCTGCTCGACCTCTCCCTGGGAATCAGATTCCAACAGGGGCATGACAGTGGGAGGTACTGTTTAAGCCACATCTGGGTTGAAAGGATTAGCCGGAGACATCGCCGTTCCCTAAGGGGGCTACTTTTATGTCCCTGTCAGGGAGCTGGAGCGAATGACGGGAGCTCACCCCACCACGCAGCCGCACTCAGGTCTCAAACGTGGGCTTGCTAACTCCAACCCAGCATCTTCATGACATGAGCCATCACGCTCCACTGTATTTATGATAGTAGGAGATATCTGGCACAATGTGAATTAGGTAAAGATCTTTAAAAATAAATAAATTAGGGTTTGTTTGTTTTTTAAGGTGCTTATATAGGAGGGAGTCCCTAGAGCCGTGTTTTTCATCGGTAGCCATTTTAAGATGTGTGGACTTCAACTCCCAAAATACCCCAGCCAGCAATGCTAGCTGGGGTATTCTGGGAGTTGAAGTCCGCACATCTTAAAATGGCCGAGTTTGGGATACGTCTCTATGAAACCACCCGGAATCAAGTTGCATTTGAAAGGGATTCATCTTCTCCATTCTCAACAAATTCTTCTTCCCCCATCTAGTGCCACAACCGGCGGTGGAAAAACTCCAGATTTATTTATTTATTTGGTTTCTACAGTCGCCCATCTCAAGACGTTGCACATTGCAGCCCAAAGACGTACAGATGAGAGCAGTTTGGGAAAAGCTGCAATAAAATGTTGCGGCGTCAAATGTTCCTCTTTGTTTTTCCATCAGCCTGGCCCTAGACTTTCTCACCTGTCTATGGATGTCTATGGAGATTCTCAGTCATCCCGGTGACGGTTTTGCCAAAGATGCTTTTTCAAAAGGCAACTGGACTTTCTTTGTTTTGAAGATGTTTTGCTTCTCATCCAAGAAGCTTCTTCAGTTCTGACTGAATGGTAGAGAATGGAAGGATTTTATATTCCTTGCAGTCATCTGGTCATTAGCACCCTCTCTGAGGACTCTCAGCAGTTCCCTGAGGGCACAGATAAACCTTCAAGTGGCCTCAATGACCCTCTAAAGGAATGCAAATGACCAGATGACTGCAAGGAATATAAATCCTTCTATTTTCCATCATTCAATCAGAACGGAAGAAGCTTCTTGGATGAGAAGTGAAATGTCTTCAAGCAAAAACCAAGAAAATCCAGATGCCTTTTGAAAAAAAACACCTTTGGAATTTCTCAGCTGTAGATAAGGTAGAATAGATAGAATAACTTTATTTTCACTTTGAATGTACACTAATTGGCCTATATTAAAAATAAATTTCATTGCATATAACTTTCAAAGGGTCACCCCCTCCAAATATACATTACATAACCATGACAGAATAAATAAATGCAAAATTATGCTTATACCCACATCTCTATATATAAAAGCGAAATACCACTCACGCATCATCACAAAATGTCCAGAACTGTAAAGCCTACACACTTGAAATTTGGCACATATGTTTCTCTTGGCTTCTAGGGGCTCACTAAGAAAGGATTTTTCAAAATGACCATCAGAGCATTAGTATTTCGTATAGTATTGTTATTAACACACTCTGATGCTAAGGAGTTCTATTCCCCCACACCACCTGAAAAGAAATCTGTTCCAAATGCGAAACACAAGCAGAGGAGAAGAGTTTCAGTTTCAGTTTCACAGCTGCAACCAGCTTTACTACAGAACAGTTGAGCTAAGCCACGCCCAGGCTCCTTGCTGTCTCCTTGCTCACACAGCAAATACTGTTTCAGTTTCCAAATAGCCCTCAACTCTCTCACACACTGACAGGACGCTTGCCAGATGAATACCGATGGATGCTGGTAGACAGGCAGAATTTTCCCCCCATTATTTTCCTCCCCCAAAACTAAGTCCGATCACATAGTTTCATAGCGAAACACGGGTATCGAGCTAGTATATTATATGACACAGAAAAAAAAAACACAGTCTAGTTTGGATGTATACATGTACATGGCAAGAAAAATGAATCTGTAAAAAAGATTCTTTTCAAGATGCTTAAGTCTCCTTCCCTCCATTTTTAAATTTTTTTTTTGTCTCCAACCATTGAACTTTTTCTTTATTCCTTACCTCCCTCCTACTTTCTTGCCTATTAGTGGTGCAGTTTTGACTTTAAAAAAAACCACGGCAATTATATTCTGCTTCAAGGAGCAGAAATGAATTTACAGATTTTGGGGGTTTTTTTTAGTTTTGGTTTTGTATTTTTGCCAGCTACTGCAAGCTGGCTTTCTCTCAAGTAGCGGTGTTTTGGATGAAAAAGCATCCCTTGGAGTCCAAACTTCTAAAATCGGTGGAAATAAAGAAAGGTGGGATGCCATTTACTTTCTGCAAACTTAATTAATTCAGAAACAATTCTCAAGTCAAGATAAGGACTGGAACTTTCCCTGTTTGGCATTTTTGAGGGATTTTTGTGATGCTCCCTCTGTTCAAATATACATTATTGGGGCGGAAAAATGACAAGAAACAGAATGATATGGGAGAACAACTTCCACAAATATATACAGATCCCGTAGTTCTTAACTTACGACCATAATTGAGCCCAAAATTTCTGTTGTTAAGTGAAACATTGGTTAAGTGAGTTGTACCCCATTTTACGGCTTTTCTTGCCACCGTTGTTAAGTGAATCACTGCAGTTGATAAGTTAGCAACCTCGTTGTTAAGTGAATCTGGCTTACCCAGTGACTTTGCTTGTCAGAAGGTCGCAAAAGAGGATCACATGAGTTATGGACACTGCAACCGTCATAAATACGAATCAGTTGCCAAAAGCATCTGAACTGTGATCACATTTGGTCACATTTTTGATACTACAAAGGTTGTAAGTGTGAAAAACGGTCCTAAGTCACTTTTTTTCAGTGCTGTTCTAACTTGGAACGGTCACTAAACCAACTGTTGTAAGTCGAGGACAACCATTATATCGTAAGGCCAGAAAAAGTGTGACAAATGTAAACACAGGACTGAGATTTTTTTCCCCCTCTGAACGTTGGAAAATACAGACTGATTTGGGAAACGGGACAGAAGAGAGTAAATGAGGGAAACCGAATGTAATTAAAAGGATGGAAATAATGATGCTGTTCAAGAGGGCTGTGAAAAATATTTACAGACCCCTCACATCCCGGACATAAACTGTTTCAACTCCTTCCCTCAAAACGACGCTATAGAGCCCTGCACACCAGGAACAACTAGACACAAGGGGAGTTTTCCTCTGAAAGCCATCACTCTGCTAAATAAATAATTCGCTCAACGCTGTCCAACGATTTACAAAGTCTGCACTACTATTACTATTAATCCTCATCGCTCCTTATCACCCATCCCCTCCCCACTTGTGACTGTATGACTGTAACTTTGTGGCTTGTATCCTTACGATCTATATTGACTTTTCCTAGTATGATTGGATTGCTTTTTGTACCCTATGACTATCATTAAGTGTTGGACCTGATGATTCTCGACTCTTGACGAATGTATCTGTTCTTTTTATGTACACTGAGAGTATTTGCACCAAGACAAATTCCTTGTGTGTCCAACCACACTGGGCCAATAAAAAAGAATTCTATTCGGTCTTTCAGGTCACTGTTGCGACGGCTACGTTCAGGCAGACAGCAAACCTTTGGGCTCTCAAGATTACGAACAGCACATGTATGTCAACACTGAAAACTTCAACAGCTGGGAGACCAATGCTGGGAAACCTGATGAGAGTCCTCCCAAAGACCTTTTCGATATGCGTAAGAGACGGGGGCTTATGGGGAAAGCTGGGGATGGATTTTGGCTGGAACTGGTTCTAGAGCCAGTTTGGCCTAGTAGTGAAGGTGCTGAACTAGAAACCAAGAGACTGTGAATTCTAGTCCTGCCAGGTGTGAAAACCAGTTGGGTGGCTTTAGGCCAATCACTAAGGGATGGGGAGTTCTAGTCCTGCCTTAGGCATGAAAGCCAGCTGAGCGATTTGGGCCAATCGCCAGATAATAGTGAATTCTAATCACCAGGAGACTGTGAATTCTAGTCCTGCCTTAGGCATGAAAGCCAACATGCATAAGCGCACCATAAGTGTGCCTAGTGTCCCTGTCCTATTGCTTCTTTTATTTTTCTTATATGTATCTGTGTATTCATAACTTATACCTATTATCTTGTAAGCAATTGACAAACCAAATAAAATAAATAAAAAATAAATAAAATGGTGAGTTCTAGTCCCGCCTTAGGCATGAAAGCCAGCTGGGTGATTTGGGCCAATCACCAGGAAATGGTGAGTTCTAGTCCCGCCTTAGGCATGAAAGCCAGCTGGGTGATTTGGGCCAATGACCAGGAAATGGTGAGTTCTAGTCCCGCCTTAGGCATGAAAGCCAGCAGGGTGATTTGGGCCAATCACCAGGAAATGGTGAGTTCTAGTCCCGCCTTAGGCATGAAAGCTGATTGGGTGACTTTGGACCAGGCTCTCTCTCTTGACTCAGCCCACTTCACAGGGTTGTTGTTGTGGGGAAAGCAGGAAGAAGAAGGGGTATTAGGTATATCACCACCTTGACTTACTTATAAAGTAATAAAGGCAGGATAAAAATCTAATGAATGCTATTAATAATGATGTGATGTTACTACCATAACACTTCACGTGATCTTGATTCTATGCCTCTCTTAATGCAGCCCTAGGCTTTTTTGGCAGCTGCAGCACACACTGCTCAATCATATTTAAGTGTTTAACAGATATGGATATCTATATCATATTTAACAGGCGTGGAGATCTGTTTGTTGGAAAGAAAGATCTGTTTGTTGGTTTGAATTGTTTTTGCAAATGGGTTCAGGTAAAGATGGCTAGGAATGCAAACCATAGTTGTGATCAGGAGCGAAACCTGCCAACGTGGGTTCAGGACCATAGACAGAGCTAAATAGAGTTGGACAGAGAAAAGCATTCCTGCTGGATTTCTGCTCGGACAGGCCTGCTCACTTTATCAATCAATCAAAATAGAGCTGGAAGGGACCTTGGAGGTCTTCTAGTCCAATCCCCTGCTCAAGGAAGAGACCCTTCAGACAAGTGACTGCCCACTGTCTTCTTAAAAAGCTCCAGTGTTGGACCACCCACAACTTCTGGAGGCAAGTTGTTCCACTGGTTAATTGTTCTCACTGTCAGGAAATCTTTCCTTAGTTCTAGGTTGGTCCTCTCCTTGTTTAGTTTCCACCCATTGCTTCTTGTCCTGCCCTCAGGTGCTTTGGGGAATAGCTTGACTCTCCCTCTTCTTTGTGGCAAGCCCCTCAAATACTGGAATACTGCTATTATGTCACCCCTAGTCCTTTTTTTTCTGTGGACTGGCCATACCCAATTCCTGCAACCATTCTTCATATGTCTCCACGCTCTTAATCATCTTAGTTGCTCTTCTTTGCACTTTTTTTCCTCCCCAAAGTCTCAACATTTTTGGAAAAAAAGATTCCAGGGTGTGCCAGCAGAAAACAGCTTTTCCCATTGCCTGCAACCTGATCCTTTTCCACTGGAAATGCTAAACACCAAATTGGACATTTCTGACATCCAAATATTTGCATTTATTATTTCAATTAATATGGCCATCCATCTCGAATTCATGACTCTGGATAGTTCGCAGCAGTTAAAAATAATTGCTCTTTTTTATTACCCACTGTCTTGCTGCAACTTTCTCCCTATGTTCTTGGTTTGATCTCTGAATTTTTCCTTTCCTTTCCTCCCTCCCTGTTGGTTGCTATTTTTATTTGCTTATTCCGTGGCCAAGTTAGATAATTGGCACATTTATCAATAACTAAAGTGCTCTGGGCCTGGGAGATCTATAGATGAAAATGCATTCTACATACATTTTCAATCCTCATCATTTCAACGCACAACTGAAGCTCTTGAAACTGAATAAGTGTTTGACCGGAAACCCCTGATGGGCTTTTTACTTGAAAAAAAAAGTGATTTATGGGTTTGATGATTAGAAAGGGGAGAATACGGAAAGAAGGCAATTATGATGTAACCCTCGAGAAGGTAAAATATAAATCCACTTGTAATTGCTGTTAAGAAGATCAGAAGCTGCTGCTTTAGAACTTTTTTTCCCC